GTAGTTCTCTAATTGAAGCAACAGTTAGAACTGGACATGGAACAGACTGGTTTCAAATAGGAAAAGGAGTATGTCAAGGCTGTATATTGTCACCCTGCTTATTTAACTTATATGCAGATATAAGTTAATTTACATCATGAGAAACATGGAGCTGGATGAAGCACAAGCTGGAATCAAGATTGCCAGGAAAATATCAATAACCTCAGATATGCAGATGACACCTTATGGCAGAAAGTGAAGAACTAAAGAGTCTCTTGAGGAAAGAGAAAGAGAAGAGTGAAAAAGTTGGCTTAATGCTCAACATTCAGAAAACTAAGATCATGGCATCTGGTCCCATCACTTCATGGCAAATAGATGGGGAAACAGTGGAAACCGTGGCTGGCTTTATTTTTGGGGGCTCCAAAATCCCTGCAGATGGTGATTGCAGCCATGAAATTAAAAGACGCTTGCTCCTTGGAAGGAAAGTTATGACCAACCTAGACAGCATATTAAAAAGCAAAGACATTACTTCATCCAAAAAGGTCCGTCTAGTCAAGGCTGTGGTTTTTCCAGTGATCATGTATGGATGTGAGAGTTGGACTACAAAGAAAGCTGAGCGCCGGAGAATTGATGCGTTTGAACTGTGGTGTTGGAGAAGACTCTTGAGAGTCTCTTGTACTGCAAGGAGGTCCAACCAGTCCATCCTAAAGGAGATCAGTCCTGGGTGTTCATTGGAAGGACTGATGTTGAAGCTGAAACTCCAATACTTTGGCCACCTGATGTGAAGAGCTGACTCATTTGAAAAGACCCTGATGCTGGGAAAGATTGAGGGCAGGAGGAGAAGGGGATGATAGAGGATGAGATGGTTGGATGGCATCACCGAGTCAATAGACATGGGTTTGGGTAGACTCCGGCAGTTTGTTATGGACAGGGAGGCCTGGCATGCTGCAGTTCATGGGGTCGCAAAGAGTCAGACACGACTGAGCAACTGAACTGAACTGAACTGAAACAACAGTGGAAAGGGGGAGGACTTTTCCCTTTGTTTAATTCAAATAAATTTTTCTGTAGTATAAATTTCATTATTTTGTGATTTTATGATGTTATACCATTTCTTTCTAAAGATAAAAAGAAATAAACCACAGACCAGGGGGCTTGCACCCAGTATTTCAAAGAGAGTATTATTGAAATATTTTTATGGTAATTTCAATCGTAATCAAGCATTATTACAAAGATCAGATCAATAAATAAAAAAAGAGGAGTCTCCCTTTCATTGTTCTTTTAGATTGTTTTAAAATTAGTAATAGACATTTTATGTCTTTCTATGTACATTTGAATATTAAAAAATCTAAGGTGCTCAGTTCCAGTTTTGTAGCAACTAGATTTCCTGTACAGTTAACCTCTTTTATCCAGTATTCATAACGTTGAAGTAAAATCTATTTTCAAACAAAATTTAATTGATATTACAAATGATGTGTATTAAAATGATATAAAGCTTTAAATTAAGCAAGAGTAACTAGTAATCAATTGTAATCACCTAATGGTTATTTTTACTTGTAATTCTTGGAAAGACTTAATGCTATTATTTTCTCCTCCATTCCAATCTTTTGACCCATCTAATCTAGATTTGCAAAGACTTATATGAGTAACAAACACTCATAAGCCCACTTTTCTTTTACTATACCTTTGGTATTTGAAATATCAAGTTATCTTCACAAGACAGATATAAGGTTATAAATATTTGGCTACTTAATACAAAATGGCCCTCACATGGGATGTCAGGATATCAGTGGCCTTTCTTATTGGACTCTAATGACAAATTAGAAAAATAATCCTACTCTATAATAGAAACTGTTGGCTAATAATAATGCTTCTGTACATCAACAGGAAATTTAAGATGATATTTTTGTATTTCCAAAAGTGTAGGTAGCTTTTTCATAGAGCCCTGGAATACCAGTCAATTTAATGCCATATTTGTGTAACTAGTTAATTTTAGGGGAAAAAATGCCTATAGAATAAGAAAAGACATACATAATGAAAATACATAATTATTTATATCTTCTAAAAATAAGTTCAAATTGAAGTACATTCAAATGGTCAATTGAATATTCTCCAGGGCCAGGAGTGGGATGAAAATAGTTATCTTCTCTAAAATCTTCTATTTAAACAACATAGTAAGGCAGATCAACCAAGTGAGCAAGCAAATATATGTCAAATAAGATCTGACATATTGTTATATAACACGACTTCTTTTTCAGTGTTTTGTATAATGCCTGTAACATCTGGGCTACCCCCAGGGCTACATATACACATACACACACATATACAGACAGAGAAATAAACATTAAGGGGGTTTTATGACAATAAAATTGGTTACTATAAATAAAGAAAAGCAAATATAATGGTGGTAGCATTTATGGACATGACTTATTTGTCCTCAGGAATTTCTATAAACAACAATTCATCTCTTTTTTAAAAATCTTAAAGCAAGTGTATACTCAGGTATTCACAACATACAGTTCCCAATTATAGAGTCTGCTTCAACACTTTTGAAAAGCTAAGAATAAATTTCATGTAGTGAAAAAAAAAAATTCATGTAGTGTATTCATTTCATGCCAATGTAACTGCCATGTAAGAAAATAAATAAGTGATCCCCAAATTGCTTATTTGTAGCAGTAAAATATAGTCAGGCAGATTTTGTAGAGAACTGAGCAATTAGACCATGCTGTTGACCAATTCAGAATCTACATTATAAAGGCTTATGAATCTTTATTGTTCACTTTCTTTGATAATGTCGACCTTCTTTCAATAATACTATCTTTGAGAAGATACCATCTAAAAAATTTATTCAGTCTGTCTCAACAGAGCAAAGAATTCCTTAACTGGCTTTAAAATTTCTTATGAGAGTTTGAAATGGTTGAAGATTAATAATCACTATTGTTAAGATTCATATTTTAAGATTTTTAGCATTTTCAGAGCAAAAGTTGAAAGTAAAAAGAAAAAAATTGATATTTATAATCATTAGGCTAAATATATGGCTGCAATGTAATTCTCATATTGAGAACAAAAATTTTTGGAGAAATCCAGTCTTTCTCTTCTGGCCTTCCCCCAATTCCCCCAATTATAGGATGCTAATAGCTCTTTCCTACTTGAAAATTACACTATAGAAGCCAACCACTATTCCAGGAAGAAAAAATTTCGCACTTAAGTGCAAGTTCATCTTCAACATTGTAAACTGACATGATTATTCTTTAACTAGAGTTGTCACTGAAATCTAAGCTTACTAGATCTAGCTTCATGTCTTAGAATAGAAAAGAAAAAAAAAGGAAAACAAGACCATAAACCCTCCATTTCTTCTTCATATAAAAGATGAACTATTACCAAAATGGATCTCATTAGGTTTTGTTTTCAACTAATAACTTTAGGAAATTTGCTTTCTGAAAAACAGAGCAAAGATACTGCTTTTCTCACAGAGAGAGAACTGAGAGCAAGCAAATATCCTGAATAAGTCAAGGCCACCATATGTATGAAAGTATCATCCCCTTCCTTCTTAGGGAAAGATGTAAAGCTGAACCCACCTAGCTCACTGTCCTGTCTGGTGTACAAGGCTCCCACTTTGGGGATAGTTATACATGGAACAGTTGCTTCCCACCCAAGGAGAATGTGATGGAGCACACATTGATACCATCATAAAGTAGTAAGGTAGGAGGTATAGATGTCTCTTCCTTAATGTGATGGTCTAAGAAATTGGATCTGGCCTCAGATATGAGTGTCTTCTCCCAATCTGTCTGCTTTCATCTTACTTTCCTGAAAACATGTCCTGTGGATGTGGCTAGGATGCAGTAGCTCTAATATCTGTGTTCTCTAGAAAGAAAACCATTAAATGTGGTCATGGGTGTCGTTTCTGAGATGAACATAGCTGGCAAGCACTCTTAAAGGTACCTTAACACCACAACAAGTATATGAATCCTAGCTAGCGAGAACCTATACTGATTAGTGATTCAAGTTCAAGCCTAATCAATCTTCAGACTATGCTTTGTTGACACATTTCATTTTGAATAGAAATGTCTATACGGGAATGCCCACCTTTCCATTAGGAGCTGGGTTTTCTAAGCTATTCCTAAAATGTTTTCTTTTGAGCTACTGAGGATAACAGGAAGGATATAAGAGGTTCACTGATGCTCTGGATAAAACTTACAACTGTTTCCAGAGCTTGTTATAATACTGAGATTTGGGGGAAAGTAAAAATATGAGATTAACGTAACAGGACTGAGTTAGGCATATCTCACAGACAGTAAGTGCTCACTGGTTTTTACAGAATAAAATGAATTCCTAGTCCTGTGTATGGATGCACCCACTCACACACATATACACACGCATATACACATGCATATACACACACATATACACACGCATATACACATACATATACACACACATATACACACGCATATACACAAACACATCTTGGCTTATGTCTCCCTGTTACCAACTGATAAATCAATTCAGCCTTATCATTTAAGCAATTCTTTTCACAACCTGGATTTTCAATTTGCACCATCAAATTGAGAAAAAAATGGGCAATTTGGTGGCTTCTTGTTGACAGTAGGCTCAATTTGTCCTCCTTCGTTGGCATGAATTATAATCTCTGCTAAACTTCCTGTTCTATGGAGATTTTATTATTATTTTTTTTCCTATGGAGATTTTAATGGTGACTGATAGAGCCAGTCCAAGTGTAAGATCAAGCTTCCTCTCCCATCTTTGCTAACACAAAGCACTATTAGGATCAATGTGGTGCTCCGTCTGCACTATCATAGGAAATGCTTTAATGATGACAGTGAGTTTATTGGAAGACAAAGAGTCAAAACTTTTCTAGAGTGGAGAAGGGCCCAAAGAAAAGGAAACTATTGCCTTGGAGAACTAAAGAACATGTAATCCCCTCTTCCCATACACACTCAACAAATCCCAGCTTCAAATTTAGAAAACAAGCAGGATTAAATTAACATGCATATTATAGAAAAAAATACCATCTCACATGAAAATTTATTGAGTGAAAAAGATTCCTTTTTATCGCATTCTACAACAGATTGTGCTAAGGGTCATTTTGGAAGAATATGCAGCATTCCGAAGTTGTAAAGTTGTATCTCCTCATGCAGTCACCCAGGCACATTTTATCTCAAAGTGCGTGCACGGACTCAGACAACCGCAAACAATTTCAGCTATAACCTAGAGCGATTTTCCACACACTGTACAATGAAAATGCTACAGCCTGGCACAACTTGTCAAGGCTGAGAGCATGCACATATATGTGTATATTAGTTATCTGCTTGAAAAGACAATAATTTAGAATAAGAAAATATATAAGCAGCATTCATGTAATACAGAATTCCTGAGAATAGTGTGTTATATAAATCTTTGAGAAATAATTTGTATTCATATGAAAACCATGATATAAAATATTTCTCTCAACTAAAGCTGAGTTGTCTAAAACTGATATACCATGTGGGGCTGTCAATATTTTGCTGTCAACAGTGATGAAGATATAACTAGATTCTACTGCATTGTTTCACAAAAGGAGAATTTCAGATAATTTTTTTCATTGTTTCTCTATTTTTCCATCGATTTCAAAAATATCAGAGAAGGCATTTCCTAAATCAATGTATCATAATTTGTATTAAAAATACCTTTCTCTTTTCATATTATTCCCACTAGGTAATCAATATGATTTTCTATGGTTATATAAAAATAACTCAGAAAGAGACAAATTCTCAAGGGCATAGCTATTGGTATTCTTTACTATAAGGCAAATGTCTTTGCCTTGTGTCCCTAATTGCAAATGGACATAAATGTCAGGTTCATTTCTGTCTTCAATAGGCATAGAGAGTATTTATCCTCAGGCATGTGTATACATTTAACCAACAAAGAAAAGGAAATGCAGATGCTACAAAATGGAAGTATTTAAAGTTTCTTTGTGCAGTTAGTACAGTTAGTTACTGTGAATAGGCAGGTGGCAGAAACAAAACCTCTCTGGAATCTGAATGGAAGAATTCCTTGAGACAAGGGAATGGGAGGGACATTTAGAGTCTGAAGTTCTTCCTCTTGCTCAGAATCAGAGGGCAGGTAGGGGAGTAAGTATTGTTGACAAATATCAACCAACCACTGTGATTTATTTATCTCTGGAGAGAAAGAAAGGAAAACTAAAATAAAACAAAACAAAAAACACTTTCATTGTTAAAATTTGTAAAATAGTGAAGAGAAACTCTATGACTTTTCTTGCTAGAGAAACCCTTGCATACATACAAAATAGTTTTATTTCCATTGGGTTTAATCTGGTCTTTATACATTTTGGAAATAACTGTACCTTTAAACGGCACACAAAAAAATCACATATGTGTATGAATGCATGATTACATATGGGCTTCTCTGGTGGCTCAGTGGTAAAGAGCCTGCCTGTCAATGGATGAGATTTGGGTTCAATCCCTGGGTCGGGAATATCCCATGGAGAAGGAAATGGCAAACTCCTCCAATATTCTTGCCTGGAGAATCCCATGGACAGAGGAGCCTGGCAGGCTACAGTCCATGAGGTCTCAAAAAGATGGGCATGACTTAGCAAATGAACCACCACAACCATGATCATGCATGCCTCATCCCATTCCCAGAAGAAAATTGAGATTAGCTTTGTTTTGCAAGAAAAAGTGTCTTGATTTCTACTACATATTTTCTTAATTCAACTCTTCTCTTTCTTCCCACCCTGCCCCCATATTTTATGCCTCCACCAGACTTTTTTTATTTGAATGCTTCCTCCGACATCAGTCTGTGAACATTCATGCTCACAGAGTTCAGAGAAACAGCAACTCCACAACAAGCAAAAATAATGTCTTTCACAATTAATTTGACTTTGTTTCTAGTGAGTTTTCAAAAATAAACCAAATCTACCAAAGAAATAACAGAAAACTCCCTTCAATGATAAAAAGAAAGTAAAACTCAAAAAATTGTGTTCTTTTACAAATAATATAAATTTATATTCATGCATTGTTTTCATCAGCTCACGAGCAAGAGTGCACGTTGTTGGAAAAGCTTACATGTTGCAAAGCATCTGGCTTCTGCTTTCCTGAATAAACAAGCTATGATGGAATACTGTGTAACTGGTCTCAGAGGTGCATGAACTGTATTAATAACTTGTGTTCCATATTGCAAGGTGCAAAGGTACAAGGAAAATCAATATATTTACAGCATTTCAAGTTATTCTGTGAGAACTATAATAAATCAGGGAGGTGGAAATTAAGTATACTATAAAACAGCTTTCCACAGTAAAATACGGATTCATCATCTTCTAAATGATAGGAGGATGAGCATCCATATTTTGTAACAATATGACTCCATTGGCATTTAGTAAAGGAGAAAAAAAGGCAGTGAAAGTTAATCTGCTAGTGATAAAACAGATTTGAATGCAGCCAAAGCAATAGAGTATTATTTCAATAATGGTATTCTTTTTGGAGTCTTAGATTTTTGGTTTGACTACTGAAGTTGTGCAACTCTTCAACTGCATAGTCAGTGAAAAAAGAAACACATGAATTTCCTGTGACACAGATCCAAAAATCTCAGCAAGAAACAAAGGAAATTCCTATAAAACAGTAAGTTGAAGGGATATGTTCTGGCAGCAAAGGCAATAACTGATTTGTCATTTCTTGGTAAGTATCTCAACTCAACCTAAGGTTCCAAAGTCATATTAGTGTGTACATGAGGACCACATGATACTTTAAGTCATGCCTGACTTGTGTACATTTACATGGAAATCTGTCATTAGAAACTTCATCATCACCATCCCTAGTATACTGTGTTGATGGAAGGTGGAGGTTTCCAAACACACAACTCCCTGAGGCTGGTTCTGAGAATTAGACCCTGGCTTCCTGCAATGTCAATCTAACCATTTTTTAAGGTCATGAGTCATTTTTCTTCTTCCCTAGACGACTGGATATTTCAGATCCAGAGATGGCTGTGATGTATTTCCCAGTATCATATTGTACATGTGGTTAGGTGCATATGCCTTCCTCTGATTCCACCCAGAATTATAATTTGCCATCATGTCTACTAATGGTATTGCCCCCAGTGGGCAACAGGCATCCGCTAAGGCCATTCATGGTGGACAGGGTGACCGCTTTTTCTCCGCTGCTGTTGCAAGTGCTCTAGTTCAGCCTCGTACATCATCTCTTGGACTAAGTACTTCTCCCGTCGTATTCGGTCATACAGGTTCTTTGGTACATCTGGAATCAGGTATGCGATGAAAGACTTGATCCCAAAAACAAGGTGCTGAAAGTTTCAGAGCAGAAAGTACATTTTCAACGATTCTGAAATGCTAATTATAAGACAGAATAGTCATGAACGATGCTGTGCTTGCCTTACAATCAAGCATCAGAACTCAGTGTATACCATCTAGAATATTTGGGGGATATTTTGGGGATATCCCAAAACTATATTGGGAATACACTTACTGCCTTCCATCTAATAAGTATTACATCAAAAACATGTTGATGTCACCTTACAAACACTGAATGAATCTGACATGCACACCCATAAAACCCTTATATACGATGCAATACTGTTATGATATGCATTGTCATACATGGATAAGAAAGACCACATGCAGGGAAAATTCCTGCATTATAGGAGGTTATAAGACACAGTGTATGAACCATACAGAATACAGTGAAGCTGTGAAGCTGAATTTGGACTCAACCTCCAGCATACATATCTTTCAGAATTTCTACTCTATTAAAATCATATATTATTATAACAGCTCTAAAATATCTTATCTTTATCAACATTTATTCCATGATAAAATATATTATACTAAAAAAGCAGGAACAAAAATCAAAAGGTAATATGCCTGTGATTAAAAGTACAGATGCTGAATGAAATTGCATGTGTCTGAATCTTACTCCAACACTCTTAGCTGTGTAACCTTATGCAAATCACTTATGTTCTCTATGTCTCAGCTCTCAAATGATGCTAATATTGGTATCTTTTAAAGGTTGGTATAAGAATTAAAAGAGCAAATATATGTGAAAAGTTCAAGGGGTGCTTGGTACAGTATAAGCACTGCTTAAATAGTACCTCCATCTATTATAAATGCATCTTTTTTCTTTTCCCATGAATAATAGGTCTTTTAATTTCTCATTAAAAAAAATCTGATTGATAGAGTTAGGATGATCTATAGAAAAGAATCCATTCACTTTAAGGACTTAGCAATAATAGTCTCTATGTGGAAAGGAAAAAGGCACTTTTAACTGGGTTTGCTGTACATATCCAGGGAAATAGCACTGCATAGTAAATCATAGAAATGCAAGTCATACTTTCCCATAGATAAGCAAATGAAGAGTTTCTTTCCCGATCAAATACTTGATATTCACAGAATACTCAGCAATGTGACTCAAGAGCACAGAAGTAAAAATTAGAAACATTTGTTACAATTTAAATTAGAAAGCAGGAATATGCTCCAAGTCCTATGTCCTTCAGTCACTCAGTCATGTCCGACTCTTTGTGACTCTAAGGACTGCAGTGTGCTAGGCTTCCCTGTCCTTCACCATTTCCTGGAGCTTGCTCAAACTCATGCCCATTGAGTTGGTGATGCCGTCCAACCATCTCACCCTCTGTCGTCCCCTTCTCCTCCTGCCCTCAATCTTTCCCAGCATCAGGGTCTTTTCCAATGANCTCACAACCAGTAACAGATGACAATTTTCTTAAAGTGATAGAGTTTATCTTAAAAAACCTACAGCAGATAATATACTTAAAAAAATCAGAAGTATGTTCATTGAAGATGGAAACAAGACATGGTTGTTTACACTGCTGCTATTCAACATCCTATTGGTTCCCAGCTATACAGTAAGGCAAACAAAAGCAATGAAACTTTGGAATTCAAGATGCAAAGCTGTTGTTATTTCCAACTGGTATTATCATCTGAAAAGACAATTCACCAGATTTACCAGACAGAATACTAGAACTTAAACAAGGAGGTATGATCATCTTAAAAAGATTATTAGCATTCCAGCAAAAATCAAGCAAATCACGTAAGGAAGGTTAAGACAGTATTCATAACAGCAATAAAAAATACCTATAAGTTTTCCAGAAGTTAAAAGGGAAAAATAAGCAAGAGAGTATTTAAAAATCTATTAAAGGAATAGAATGATCTGAATAAATCCCACTTTCATTAATGAAACAACAGATTTTGTAAATAAGTCAAAATTTGATTTCTACAAATGTAATTCTAACCAAAGTCTTTGCTCAATATATGAAGGAACCTGAAAAACAGTTTATATGAATGACTAATAATTCCAAATAGCTATGATAATTTTTAAATTAAGAGTAAATGTTGCAGGAATGGAAAGTCATTTGCTTTATCAGATATGAAATATTTAAATATGGCATTTATATAGTGCAATAGTGATCCAGTTATAGTGATCCAGTTACAGACAGAGCGATAACTCAAAATACTGAGGTCAGAGATATACCCATGACAATATAGGAACTTGAAATATAACAGAGATGGATTTACAAGTCAGTGGATAGGTAATAGATTATTCAGTAAATAGCAGTACAAAAATTATTTTACTATAGGGAGAATAAAAAATAACTTTTCTCTCAGACTCTATAAGAACTCCAGGTATCTTAAATACATGTGATAGGTAAGACTATAGAGTTAATAGTAAAAATGTAGTAGAATACCTTTATGAATTAGAGATAAGGAAAATGTCCTAAATAAGCTATACAGAATAAGCACACACCATGAAATGTAAAAAATCACGGGCTTGACTACAACAAAATTGAACATTATCTGTTTACAGGTAAGACTAATAGGTTGTGTACAAAAAATGATATCTGCTTGTATGTAACTAGTGAAGATTAATATGTAAAATAGATAAGGAAATCATAAAATTTGGTAACACAATCCAAAGTGGATCAAAGTTATAATACACTTACAATGAAAGGAAGCCTAAATGGCTTTCTAGTACTAAAAGTGATGGTCAGTGTCATTAGTAAACAGGTTATAACAAAAAAAATTAAAGCAAAATATTACCTTACTCTTTTACAACTGCAAAATATTAGAAATCAGATACTATGAAAATCTGGTAAAAATCCAGGAGAATTTTGAAGAGCACTCTGTCGGTATTATTATACATGAAACCAAGTACGCGTATAAACTAACAATTCCACACCTGAGTAAAATACTCCTTAAAAACCCTTAAATGTGTTTACAAGAGAACCTGTCCAATAGTCTTAATAATAGACACACTGAGGTAAGAATTATTGTAGGTCTAAGTACCTATCCTAAGGAGCATATGGTATTTAATTTTGATGAAATATCCTAAGTAGACAAAATAAATTACAGATCTCATGGATAGATGTCTCTCTAGATTTGAAAAAGTACCATGGCAAGAGATAAAATGAATGCTTACATAATACCATTGAAGTAATTTTGAAAAATAGTACTTAAAGTAATACTATACACATACACACACACACATATTTATAAACAAACATATATTCAAATAAAGATGTGGAGCATCTTCCACAGAAGAAGACAGAGTGGGTGCTTATGGAGGGAGTGGGTAGCAGGGAATGAAAAGAGAGAAAAAAAAAGAAGGCATCATTGGTGTCATGGATCCATGATGGTAGGCTGCTGGTAACTGAAGCATTTAATTAAGTTCTTCACTGTATCAGGCTGGCTATATTTTAAGCAAAGCAATAATACTGTAGCTTCTTTAAATTTCTTCACAGCACTACAATCTAGTATTATTGCATCACTATGATTATCAAAATCTGTGCAATTTTTATAAAAGTGTTCTCAGGCATAAATTACTGAATTATGCAAGTTTGCTTATACAAATACATATGATCAACTATAATTAGAGTTGATTGTTCAGAAGACAATCTCTCCATCAAATGAACAAATATGGGTTCTTCTGTTAGATTATGAAAATCATTCTTTGCTTTTTACATTTGGTTACTGTGGTGCTCATAACTAAGTCGAGGTGCAGGTGGTTTATAATGCTCCATTAGCTCCAGGTACAAAGCAAAGTGACTGAGTTATATACATACATATACATCTATTTGTTTCAGATTCTTTTACCTTATAGGTTATTATAAAATATTGAATATAGTTTTCTGTGTTACATAGTAGGTCATTTTTGGTCACCTATTTGATATATAGTAATATGTATATGTTAATCCCAAACTCCTAATGTATCCCCCTCTTTAACCATACATTTGTCTTCTATGTCTGTGAGAGTTGTTTTATAAATTTATTTGTGTCACTTTTTTAGATTCCACAAATAAGTGAAATATATTTGTCTTTCTCTGTCTGGCTTACTTCACTTAGTGTGATAATATGTAGGTCCACCGTGGACCTACAGATTATCCTAGTTTTCTGATATAAATACTCTTTAACTTACATTATTCAGCCCTTGCTTTTCTGTACTTGTCACCGTGGTTTCATTGTACTTAAATCTTTTACAGGGACACAGTCATCTCCAGTTTTGTAAGTCAGTGAAAAACAGTTCAAAAAGACAATGTTTCAGTTGGAAAAGCGTTTATCTACAGTAATTTTATCAGTCTGTGACTAACCTCAAACACAATAATGAAGGCCAATCTAGCAGCGAGGATATGCCAGTATTGTAGGGTGAATTCATAGGGTTTGGAACTCCAAGGAGGACCTCTGTAGTCTCGGTACCTAAAATCCACAAAAACAAAGAGTTGGAAGAACAGAGATCAAGATGTGAAGGTCCCAAGATGTGAAGTTTTATTTGCCAAAACTTCAAAATGATAGCTTCAGTGTGTCCATTAACACGTTGAGTGGAGGAGATGGAATGGTGAAAGCAAAAAGAAAAGACAGCTATAATTTTTAAGTACCTGCAATACCCAGATTTTCCCAAGCCAAGTTCACTCAGGTCAAAGAAGGATAGGCTATTGTTGACATATCCTGTTAAACAACTGAAAAGAAAAGAAAGCATCACGTGACTCAGATGCATAAATTTCTAATCCAACTACTTCATTAAATCCCAAATGATGGGATTTAATAAGTGCTGTTATACCATTCATTCTAATTATAAACTCCGAGCAACTCAGCTCTCTGATTCTATTCCCTGACTCACTATACCTGTGATTATACCTTAATGAGACCAACTCTTGCCTGCGATTTCCCTGCAATAGTTTCTGTCTTGCCCTATCATCTGGCTTATATTTTATTAAGTGTTCACTATGCAGTGGGCATTGTGTTTGTTTCATATGCATTGAAACTGCATAAATATACTTTTATAAATATACATGTTTATAAAATATTTTATATTTTATAAATATTTTATAAATATACATGTTACAGTATTTGGATAATTATAATCAAGCAGCCAGTTGACAAAAATGCTTATTTGTGATTTATTAACTTATTCAATTTATATATTGAGGACCTAAAATTTGTTAGAAAATTCTAGATACTTGGTATTCAACAGTAAACAAAATAGGCAAAATTCCCTACCCTGATGGTTCAGTATTAAATTGTAAACAGGGTTAACTTTTACAATAAATTTAGAAGCTTATTATTTCCACCATGTGGATTAAAAAAACTAATATTTACAGAAACTAAATGACTTTTTTTTAGTACTATAATTCTCAAAATTTCTGGTTTCAGATACACTCTACATTTAAAATAGGCATTGAGGATCTCAAGGAGCTATCTGCATAAGGGCAACCAAGTAGCATTAGTGGTAAAGAACCCATCTGCCAATGCAGAAAATGATAAGAGACACCAGTTCGATCCCTGGGTTGGGAAAATCCCCTAGAGGAGGGCATAGCAACCAACTCCAGTATTCTTGCCTGGAGAATCCCATGGACAGCAGAGCCTGGCAGGCTACAGTCCATGGGGTTGCAGAGCTGGACATGACTGAAGCGACTTAGCATGCAAGCATGCAGATCAATTGATATTTACCACATTAGAAATTGAGAGAGAAATTTAGAAAATATTTATGTTAACTCTTTGTAAATAACTATCAAATCCATTCAAATAATATAAAAACACATTTGAAAAATATATATTCCAAAAGAAAAAATTGGAGTGAGAGATGACACAGATTTACATGTTTGCAAAATACCTTAATATCTGCCTTAACAGAAGACAGCTAAGATTGAAAGCAGGAAGAGAAGGGGACAACAGAAGATGAGATGGTTGGATGCCATCACTGACTCAATGGACATCAGTTTGAGCAAGCTCCAGGAGATGGTGAAGGACAGGGAAGCTTGGCGTGCTGCAGTCCATGGGGTCGTAAAGAGTTGGACATAACTGAGCGACTGAACAGCAACAAGATACTCATGTGTGCTCCATCGTGTCCAACTCTTTTGACCCCGTGGACTGTAGTCCTCTAGGCTCCTCCGTCCATGGGATTTCCCAGGCAAGAATACTGGAGTGGGCTGCCATTTTCTCCTCCAGTGGATCTTCCTGACTCAGGGATCGAACCCAAGTCTCTTGGGTCTTCTGCATTGGCAAGTGGATTCTTTACCACTTGAGTCACCTTGGGATACTTGCATTAAATTTGTTGCAATGTGTTGTTTTTGTTGAAGGTTAAGTAAAAAATCTGGCCTCATACAGATTAACTAGTTGGAAAAAGGAAGACTATTTTAATATTTCAGATAAATGTCAGTACTTTTCTTTGGTATTCCACCAAAGCCCTACCTATGGTAATTTCTCAAATTTTTATTGCAAAGTGGAATCTTAAGGTGTCAATGAACTTTCACATAGATTGTTTCATAACAGGTCTATCTTGTACTCTGAATTCATCATTTATCCAAGCATAATTCTGTGATATCAAATAGGGGCCATTTGGAGAATATCTTTTCCCTAAATCAGGGGTCACCAACCTCTGGGCCACAGACTGGTACCTGTCAGATCAGCAGTAGCATTCGACTGGAAATAAAGTGCACAATAAATGCAATGCACTTGAATCATCCCAAACCATCCCTCCCTTTCCAGGTCTTGAAAAACTGTCTTCCACAAAACTGGTCCCTGGTGCCAAAAAGGTTGCAGACTGCTGCTTATGCAGATATCCCATATGTTGATCTATTTTTTACTGAAGACCATGAAAAAGCACAATTGTTAACATCACCACTGATTTTTATCAGAAAGAAAAAATACTGGGAAACTCTTAAGCCCAACAAACAGTCTTGATTATCTTCTTTAAAATGACAAGCTACTTTTGTGCATTTTATAAAAAGAGTGTTTGCTAAATACCCAGGTCTGAATACTCATAGTTTGTTTGGTAATTGTTCTTTGTCTGGCAATTGTTGAAAAAACATGTTGGTTTGGTAAGCAGCTCCAACAATCACCTAGGTGCTCTTCTTTGACACCGCATCAAAACTGCTTCATGCACACTTAGTGTTTTGTCAAATAGAATATTGAGAAGACATTTATTCAAGGGTAGAGACTTGATACAATTAATAATTATTACTGCTTCATCAAAGATATTTTGAAATGTCTTTGTTGTTGTTCAGTTGCTAAGTCATGTCCAACTCTTTGTGACCCCATGGACTGCAGCACGCCAGGCATCCCTGTCCTTCACTACCTCTTGGAGTTTGCTCAAACTCATGTTCATTGAGTCGTTAATGGTATTCAACCATCTGAAATTTCATACTGGCATCTTAAAAATGTTGACTGTAGTGAGACATACAATCATTACTAGTATTTTTTGGTGCCACTGCTTTGAGTGATACAAAGCCACCAAAAATTTTTATCCACCAGTGCTTTTGTACCATCTGTGCAGACTTCAATGTGGTTAAAAAACAAACAAAAAAAAACAAATAGTATCTTAGTATTATTATGAAAATAGTATTGACCTCATGAACACTGAAGAAGACATGCAGGCCACAGGTTGAGAATCTGCCTGGAGCATAGCGTTAGACTTGGATTTGAGTGCCCATTTATCTTATTCTAAACCTCCAAATGTTAATTATAGGGTCCCACTGACTTCCCTCTGCTCCCTGTCCAGCCTAGACCTCATAATTTATCATTTCAGCTGATCTCTTGCCAATAGTCTTCTCTCCACTGCCACCTTGTCCTTTTGCCCTCTTGCTCTGGAAAATTTCCAATCTGAATGAAGGTCCTCCAATTTAGCTGCTAAGCACATCCAGAGAAAATTAAATACAGGTAGCCCTTGCGAATGTGTGGTTTCAGCCTCACATAAGTCCACCGCATCTCCCCTTGAAATGATTCTGCATCCCTAGTCACCGCTTATGGATAAGGGGTCACAGGCTAAGGGAAAAGTCAGGACTGGAATGTAAAACAGCTGATGCCCCGCCACGCTCATTCTCACCTGCCACTAGGTGGCAGTAAAGACACTAACAAATAATGCCCTGAGGAAGAGGGCTGCCAACGGCGCCTACCTATTTCAAATCTTTAAGGTTTGCTTCTAGACCGTTTTGAATTAAGCAAAAAGGGACTTTGTGGTTTTTCACTACTAATATTAAAATCTTTTTTTTTTAGTGTTTTGTGTTTTACAGTTCATAAAATGTTAGCTCAGACATCATTTCTGAAACAAAGGTCCAGATTGATGATGTGCCTTTTAGTAAGAAGCAAAGTTAATACTAAAGTCTAGGGAGTTTGACTTCAAGTCAAAAATCTCTGGACAAGACTCTAAAATATAAAATAAAATCTCATGTCTTTATTACCTCTCTTTGAAAAATTGAGATGTTTGTTTGTGTTCAGAAAGGCACTGCAATGCAATGTCCTGAGACAAATTAGTTAGTTCATCAGCAGGACTAAGAGCTGATGTCGTTCGGACCGTTGGGGCACAAGTCCTGTATCCAGATAAGATGCAAGCCCAGAGCTGATCTTGAAGAGAGGAGAGGCAGCTTCTCCTATGACTGCTAATCACCCATCACTACTATCACACCTAAAGCTACCCTCTAGCTAAAAACCCCAGTTGCTCTCTGTCGCCAAGTACAGTGCTCCCTGTCATTCTTCTCTAACACACATTTTCAAGAAGGAAAGATCTGGAAAGTCCATGTCCCCTAAAAGCAGTGGTTCCATTAATAAAATGAGAAATTTTGTTCCCCAGCGACCATTTTGTGATGATTGGAGACATCTGTGGTTGTCACAACTCGGGGAGAAGGGAGGTTGCTTTCGGTATCCACTGGGTAGAGGCCATGGGTGCTGGTAAACATCTTAAGATGCACAGGATGTCCCGTCCTCCTCAGAAACAGAATGATCTGCTCTCCAGTGTCAATAGCGCAGAGGTTGAGAAACCCTCGAAGTGTTGATTTAAATTTTAACGAAAAAGAAAAAGGAGGCAGGTCTAGGGTATCCTTTGCTGCATCCTTAAAATCTCTAGCAGTAAATTCCTTTAGAAAAATCTCTAGTTATATATCTGACAGTTTATTTACATTCTGCATCTCCTCACAAACTAGTTTAATTCCCTTCAGTAATCTGATTAANTCTTTGCAACCCTATGGACTGTAGCCTGTCAGGCTCCTCTGTCCATGGAATTCTCCAGGCAAGAATACTGGAGTGGGTAGCCGTTCTCTTCTCCAGAGGATCTTCCTGACCCAGAGATCGAACCCAGGTCTCCCACACTGCAAACAGATCTTTACTGAATCACCAGAGAAGCCCCTGTTGGAACCAGTCTCTGTCCATTATTTACTTTCTAAGGATGGTATATATCTCACTATAGCTACTGAATACTTCCTTTAGAGAGGAGGAAGACCCCATCTACAGAGATTTGGAAATTAGAAGATTGTTGGAATTGGTTTTTATTTTTAACAATGAGGTATGGCACAGCTGCTTAAGGTTCTTCAAAACCTATATATAGAACTTGATTAGTACTAAAACAAATAAAAATATAGTACTACTTCATTGTGTGAACCCCAAAATATCTGCATTCACTATGAGTTTTGCCTTTACCTTTTTCAAAACTTTTTTGATATAAAAATATGAAAAAGTAAAACTAGTTTAGTGTCAAGAGCTGGAAATCACTGGTTTCTTAAGAAGTAGAAAATGTCAACCAATCTGGCATCACATAGATACACAAAACAGGCTTTGAAATTGTATATTGTATCAACAGACTATTGACTTTGGTCAAAATTGATGTTTCAGATAGGATTAAAATTAACTTTAAAAAACAATGATATGAAAAAAATAAGTCCTAGAAAGGTATATATGACATCATTTACAGTTACAAACAAGTTTATGAACTAGCAATGCTCAGTAAAAACTTACTCAGCCAAGAGTTATAAATAAAATTACTCTCATTTCATTCTTTTGTTAATGAAAACAGTTTTGTTATGGTTGGAAGGGAGCCCCAGCAATAGAAACACATTTGGTGCTAAGTTAGATCAAGCCACCACTTGGCCTTAACAATGCAAAAAACCATGCAGTTCCTGAATCTTACCTATGTCAGTTGCTCGGGCTGGCAAAGGCCTCCGCCACTGGGTGACAAATTTGTATGCATCCAACCTGATTTCGATGATATTGTTTAACAAAGCCAAAAGAGGGGCCAGCGGAAAGGCCGCAACGAAGATGGTAGTAAAACCAAACTGCAAAACTGTAAAGGCAGAGAGTTAGAAAATTCGTAATATAAACAGTCTCATTTATTGAGTGTCTTCTTTGTGTCATATTGGGCATCTTTACATAGATTGCCTTTAATTCTTTCAACACCCTAGAAAGTAAGTATGCTTATCCTATTTTACAGTTGAGAAAACTTGAAGCTTATAGGTGTTAGTTAATCTGGCTAAAGGGTAGATAGCTAAAAAAAGGTTAAAATATGAATTCAAACTCAGGTCTCAATAGACTGAAAGTCTATGAGCCTTTCACCTCTATGCCATACATAATGAAGGAAGAAAAATGTCAGAGGACTTGAATAAAAATGCTCAGTCCTAGAAGAGAAGCAAGATACCTAATCTTGTCCTGTTTTTCTGGATGAGAAAACAGGGCCAGAGAACAAAAGCAAATGTTAAAACAACACAACAACATGCAGCGATCTTAACAGTCAATCCTTAAATCCTTATTTTCATAATATAAATAAGTTTCTTGAAGAAGCTCAGACTCAGACGGATCTGTGCAAAGATTTACTGTGAGAAAGAATTACTGCTTTATTTGGGTGGGATGATACATTTCTTAACATAGGAATGAGTTTTGCTTTATTTTGTTCCTTTAAAATATTTGTTCAAAAGGTAGATACTTTCATTTTGCTCAAATGTTATGGTTGACAGGGTAAGATGCATAAGCCTTCCAAGGGCACTGCCTTAGTATCTTCTCCAGCTCTGCTGAGATAAAGGTGTAGACGTGTTTTGGAAAGCTTGGGGTGGGAAAGGAGAGAGATGGCTTTCTCTCTGGAATCAGAGTCTGCGTGAAGTAGAAATAAGTATCAAGAAGGTCAAATAGCTTTGCAGAAGGTTCCCTACCCATTTCTAAGTACTCATCCATCAGTCCGTGAATATTCATGGGCTGCAGATTCCAATCATTTTCCCACTGAGGGATGGAAGCATCTTGAATTCCCCGCTTGATTTTATGTCGTGACCACCAGTTCTGGATCAACCTACATGAGCAGACAAAGGGCTTTTGAGCTCTTATTTAAGTAATGGGTAAACAATTTACAGTGCATTAAGAAAAGTGAAACATTCACTACCTTGAAACTGTACTGGGAATTGGGGGTCTTTGCATGGTCTGAACTTTGTTTTTACAAAGTGATTTATTCATCTATTTTTGGTTGTGCTGCATCTTCGTTGCTGCACCCGGGCTTTTTCTAGCTGTGGCGGGCGGGGCTATCTCTTGTTGCAGTGGGGGCGCTTCTCATCGCTGTGGCTTCTCTCTCAGCAGCACAGGCTCTAGGGCATTCGGGCTTCACTAGTTGTGACACAGGCTCAGGAGTTGCAGTACTTGGGCTTAGTTGCCCCACAGCATGAGGAATCTTCCCGGAGCGGGGATCAAACCCATGTACCCTGCTTGGCAGCAGGATTCTTAACCACTGGACCGAAGAGGCCCTAGACTACCTAGCCCCTATAAACATCCACATATTTTTCAGAGTTGATCCTCCCATGCACTAGGTGCTTCCTGACATTGTTTAGACAGAGTCTCATGTCTGTGATTCTTTCCCCTATCCCATCTATATAAATATTTAAACTCCTATGCTGCCTGCTATAATTGTATCTGAGCCCTTCCTTCCAAACCGTCTGGGCTGTGCTCTCTGAATACGAGTAAAATCATTTAATTGAGTCCTACCTAGAATTTCAAGAGATGCAATTTCTAGTCTCCACCCTACAATGCATTAGCTGTGTGGCTTTTACTAGAGAAAGTCACTTCTTTTATCAAAGAAGTCACTTTACTTCTCTGAGTCTATAAACATGAAGCATTCAAGCGATTACACTCTGCTCCTGTAGAGAACAATAATTTACAGGCAATGAGTCCATATTTCAGTCCATTTATCAGACTTGGGAAAGAAGTAACAATACTCTTTCCCCAGTCCAGGGGCAGTCTTGAAATTATATGACTCAGAAATATCCTGGTACGCAAATATTATAGACTTCTGGGTAATTGATTATTTTAAGAATGAGATGAAAATTATCTCTAGGATAAAGTGAATTTCACAGGACTCAGTGAACACTACCCAACTCTCAGTTGTAATTAACCATGGACTTAGAGCTTTATTGAGGTTGAAACAGCCACCATAGCTAGATAAAAACGTCAGGCAGAGTGCTTCAGTGTGTGCTCCATGTAGGTTGCCTCTGGAGCCTCATGAAGATGAAAAAGAGGGTCGGAGTTGGAAGGCCAGCTTTCTTCTATGTTATTTATTTCAATCTGCTTAAGATTCTACTTGAAGAAAGAGAATTGTGGTTTAAAGTTTAAAAATTATTGCTTTAGGGACTGGTTCATTCCTGTTACATTTTCTGCAGCAAGGTCTTTATCCAATTGTTGGAAAAACCCCAGCAAGATATCCTTTGTCATGGTACCCTTGGGATTTGAAATAAAAAATCCAGGCTGACCTCTTGGGCAAGGACATGGTGGAAGGTGCTCTCCAAAGTGACAGTATGTATAGAAGAACATGGATAATGATAATAAGAAGAATCAATGTTAACACCACAACGGCTACCACACCATCTTGACTGTGCTTGTGAAGTACCCACACTGTGTCAGATGCTGCAATAGGCACTTGATACCTAATTTATTCTGATATTTTCAAATTACATTCTTCAAAATTTATGTTTCAAAGAGATGAGCCAAGGATAGAAAGGGATACAAAAAATGGACTGGGCTTCCCAAACCTCTGCTGCTATTCTCTCTTCATTCAGAGGAAATTTGCTTTAATCTGTTTTGACTACTGAGGATTTGTATAAATATCTCTTCACAAAAAGCTTTTGTCATTTATTGGTGAAGATTTAAAGACCACTGGGTCATCTAATATAATCTTCATAAGTCCCTTATTTTACAAATTAAAAAATAATGGCTTGGAGAGGTTAAGTAAATTATAAGTATCTTTAGCAAGAGGCATAGAACGAATCTGAACCAGGTCTCAGCAGTTTCACAGTCCAGTGCTTCAATACTGCCTGTAATTTAACACAATACTTTATTGCCGATTTCAGGGTTAATATCACCTCTCCAACCCCTCTGGCTCAGGCATGTCCTGATATAGTTATGGGTCAATGAAGAGAAAAAAAATATGGTGTAATTTGATGACTGAGCCTAAACTATTTATAGCATCAATTAACTAACCAGTTCTTCCCCCATAGCAAGGAAATTTCTCAATATTCTATTGTTTTTAGCTTGATTAGACCTCAAAGCTTCCATATCACATTGTTTTAAGTCCACCTTATTTCACTATATTCTAAAGGATAATATATTTTAATAGATGTAAAAGTGAGCATTCAAGGTCCTTTTATGTCAGCATTTCACAGAATTTATCTATATGGACAAAAATAGAATGCTGTTGGTTTGATATTGTCACAACCAATACTGGTGTAATGATTTTTATTACTATTGTTGTTGTAACAAAGATCCCAAAATATCCCCATCTACAATTTTAACTTTTACTTTTTTTTTTTGGCAGGTGGGCAAAATGGAGGTTTTCTGTATTAAACAAAAACAACAACAACCTTAGTCTTTTGGTAACCAAAGGAAACCAGAAAGTTATTTTTGTCCTCAAGAACCCACACTCTCAATAATGCTTTAAGAATACCAACAAGTGTCTTAGGATATTGAACAGAATACAAGTATTCTACATCCATTATTTCCATTAATCCCTTAAGCTGTTCTTGAGAAGATACAGCTATAGAGGCCTTCTTAGAGATGTGAAAACTAAGGCACAGAAAGACTGACTTACACACAGTCACATATTTTAGAGAGGAGCAGAATGGAAACTGAACTGTTATGACTCTGATTACCAAGCTCACTTCTTAACAACTAGGCATACTACCTGTATCTTTCTTCTTTGTCACTCTATATGTATATGTGTGCACACTTAGTTGTGTCTGACTTTTTGAGGTCCCACAGACTATAACCTGCAAGTCTCCTCTGTCCGTTGAATTCTCCAGGCAAGAATACTGGAGTGGGTTGCCATTTCCTACTCCAGGGGATCTTTCCAACCCAGAGACTGAACGCGAGTCTCTTCTGTCTCCTGTATTGGCAGGAAGGTTCTTTACCACTAGTGCACCTGGGAAGACCTATCACGAAATACATGGCCAGTTTAAAAATTAAGTACTCACGGGTATCCCAGTTCCATGAAATTGTTCCATATTTGCTTCAAAAACATGATAACTCCCATCTGGAGGCAAAGGTCTATCAAACAGCCACTAGGATGACACTGAAACAAACACAGGGGCAATAAGGATCTCGCTCTTCTCAGATAGCTTACACACCCCCATCTTCCAACTGCATAGCAAATTCTAAAGCCATGTTAACTCATGTCAATGCATAAAGAGAATAAAAACAAGGAAGGAATAGCATGTATGAGGATACTTGATAGGGAAGTTTTCAGTAAATATACTGAAATATTGATCAAAATTATAACAGAAATAACAACAAACCTTTTTTTTTCTCATGGCCACTCCATGAGGCATGTCCTCTGCATTGGAAGCACAAAATCTTAACCACTGGACCACCAGGGAAGTCTAACAAATCTATCTTTAATGAGCACTTACTACTGCCACTGTCCATGTTAGGCATGATCGCATTTAATGAATACTCTGGAATACTTTATGAAAAAAGTGTCATTAGTCACTCAATCATGTCTGATTCTGCGATCCCATGGACTGTAGCCCACCAAGCTCCTCTGTTCATGGGATTCCCCAGGCAAGAACATTGGAATGGGTAGCCACTTCCTCCTTCAAGGGATCTTCCCAACACAGGGATCAAACCTGGGTCTCCTGCATTGCAGGCAGATTCTTTACCATCTGAACCATCAAGGAATCAATTTAATAACCAGGTGATAGAAAAATATTTAACTCTATGATAAAATGTTTATATTTTTAAAAATAAGCTTCTTACCTGAGGCTAATTTTAAATTTGTAGAAAATTTGCAAAGCTAAAATAGTACAGAGAGTGCCAATACACTCCTCTCTCAATTCCCTTCACTGCCCCTTACAGTACCAAGGTAGATTGTCAAAGCTAAGAAATTCACAGTAATACATTTCTATTAGGTAGTGTATTAAAAAACAGAGACATTGTTTTGCTGACAAAAGTCTGTACAGTCAAAGCTATAGTTTTTCTAGTAGTCATGTACGGGTGTGAGATTTGGACCATAAAGAAGGTTGAGTGCCGATGAATTGATACTTTCGAACTGCGGTGCTGAAGAATTCTTGAAAGCCCCTTGGATAGCAAGGAGATCAAATCAGTCCATCCTAAAGAATCAACCCTGAATATTCATTGGAAGGACTGATGCTGAAGCTGAAGCTCTAATACTTTGGCCACCTGATAAGAAGAGCCGACTCATTGGAAAAGACCCTGATCCTGGGAAAGACTGGAGGAGAAGGGGATGACAGAGAATGAGATAGTTGGATGGCATCACCAATTCAACAGACATGAGTCTGAGCAAGCTCTTGGAGATAGTAAAGGACAGGGAGGCCTGGAGAGCTACAGTCCATGGGGTCACAAAGAGTCAGACATGACTTACAGACTGAACAACAATGAACTAAACTTTACTTTACTTAGACTTCCAGACTTTACTTAGATTTCACCTGCTCCAGGATCTAATCTGGGATACCTCATAGAATTTATTTGTCATGTCTCTCCCAGTCTCCTCTGGTCTAGGCAGTTTCTCAGATTTTCATAGTCTTAACAATTTTGAGTACCACTGACAAGCATCCTGTGGACAATCCCCCAAGCTGGGTTAATCTCATGTTTTCACACATTTAGACCGGGGTTTTATGTTTTGGGAATGGAGGTAGGGTACAGTGGTGAAGTGCCATTTTCACCATCAGGGTTACATGATATCCACATGTCATTACTAGTGATATTAACCTTCAACATTTGGTTAGTATAGTATCTGCCAGGTGTTTCCATTGAAAAGTTACTCCTTTTTCCTTTCTCTCAGAAGTGAGTCATGTGTCTAGCCCACTCTCAAGATGGGGGGAAGGTCTATCGCCCAGGGAGGAATTATCTATGCATATTATAATGCATTTAAGTGATAAAAGTACGCCACAAAACAGTTTGCCAGTATGATCCCAATGATGCCTTGTCTGTGCTCCACTGCTTTTTCATATCTTCAGTAACAGCAACCGAGGGCTTCTCAGGTGGCTCAGTGGTAAAGAATCCACTTGCCAATGCAGTTCGAACCCTGGGTCTGGAAGATCCTCTGGAGGAGGAAATGGCAACCTGCTCCAGTATTCTTGCCTGGGAAATCCCATGGACAGAGGAGCCTGGTGGGCTACAGTCCACAGGGCTGCAAAGTCAGACATGGCTGAGTGACTGAGCACGCATGAATGCAACAACATTAGAAACCATACACACAAAAATGTGATTACAATGAAAATTGTAATCAATGTGTTTTGCTTGAAAACTGCACACTATTTGAGTAGGAAAGCGTAGGTCGTTTTCTTTGGAAATGGGTTCATGTCCTGCTCGTAAGTCTGATGGTCTCTGTAGCTTTGATCTACAGTTTCTATTTCTATCAAGTCAATACCAGTGGGACTTCAAAGGGAACAAATACTTAGGACACAAAGAGCCTGCTTTTCTGTTTCCAGCCCAGTAACTTAAAACTCTCCAATCTGAGCCAGAGAAAGGGTTTGTAAGTGGTAATTTTTATCGTGTGGAGAAGTTTCAGTTCTCCTATATAAGCATACTCCCTTTCAGAATGAATTTAGGACCCCCTGAACTCGCCACATATATACCATGAACAGGTTCAGTAGAATGTCTGAGACAGAATAATTACTAAGCTACAGAGGCAGATCACAGTTGCAAGCTGAAACTGTTCATTTTTTGTAGACAGACTCAAAAAGGCAAATTAACTTGTCCAAGATCATGCAATGCTAACTGGTGATGTGGAAATGAAAGCTGTGGTCTCCTCTACCCTAATGCACTGCTCCTTCACATAATGCTAAGGATGACTTCTGTTTATCAAATGTGTTTGCTGCCTTGTAGGGTTGCTGTAGCAAAGCCTATTATTTTGTGGAAAGGGAAAAAGAAGACCATCATAGAACTATGTGACTGGATCACTCTCCACAATGGTAGGGCAAAGTGGGGAGGCCAGAGGACAGGGCATTTAGAATTTTGTTGGAATTGAGCATAAGGACTTTGTGATTCATAGGATAGAGCCTGTTAGTCACTCAGTCATGTCCAACTCTTTGCGACCCCATGAGCAGTAGCCTGCCAGGCTCCTCTGCCCATGGAATTCTTCAGGCAAGAATACTGGAGTGGATTGCCATTTCCTTCTCCAATATGGTAGAGAAAGCGGTCTAACAGTTTCAGTGAATCTACCTCCTCACATAATGATTCCTTTGAGCTAAATCCAGTACTTTAATACTATAAAATTCATTTAGTAAAAAGTCTATACTTAGAAAGAGTAAAGTGAAACTCACTCAGTTGTGTCTGACTCTTTGTGATCCCATGGACTATACAGCCCATGGAATTCTCCAAGCCAGAATACTGGAGTGGGTAGCCGTTCCCTTCTCCAGGGGATCTTCTCAACCCAGGGATCCAAACCAGGACTCCCACATTGCAGGCAGATTCTTTACCAGCTGAGCCACCAAGGAAGCCCAGAATTAGTAAAGAGCATGGATAAATGTACAGGAGACACAGACTTTCATTCCCACTGCACCACTCAAAATCATATGACCATCAGCAGTTCAGTTGCTCAGTCATGTCTGACTCTTTGCCACCCCACGGACTGCAGCACACCAGGTTTCCCTGTCCATCACCAACTCCCAGAGCTTACTCAAACTCATGCCCGTCAAGTTGGTGATGCCATCCAGCCATCTCATCCTCTGT